CTAAAAATTGGAGTGGGGGTTTCCCCAAAAATAAGCAGGTAGAAGCAGAACTTAATTGTTTTTTTGGAAAAATTTGATTTTATTGCCGCGTTGTAAACAAAATAGGAAAATCCATCTAATATGTCGTAAAATTAATAGCAAATATCTATTTGTATAATAAAATACAAAGAGATATTTTAAATAATAAAACTATTTTAATTACTACCACAATTTGTATTTTTAAATTCATCCTTTTTGGGCAAATGCAAATTTCTTAGTATTTTGAGTGCAATAAATTGTAAGAAATATTTGAAAAGTTTTCTAATTAAATTGATAGTAGACTTTATGATTTGTATTCGTTCAATATGAAAGAAAATGAATTAATTTCCGATTCGTCGATTTTGTTGAATAATTATTGACATTTTTAATCACTTTTATTTGCATTAAAATTAGTCTAATAATGAAAACAATAGAAATTGTGAAAAATAAATCTTAATTAATATAAATTAATTAAAGATTTTTTATATTTTGCTTGCAAGATTAAAATTTGTTATCTTTTTTTATTTCTAACATATAAAATATATATTATAAATTTAATTTAGGCTTTGAAAAAAGTTACGTACTTCCAACACACTTTTCCATAATAATTCTCTACTTCTTCTGCGTTGCAACTTTCGTCTTTGCAGAAATGAATCGAAATGATTTTTCTGGATTACAATTAAATGGTTTTCTAAAAATGCTAAATTTGTTGGAACATTATATCACGTAAATAATTACAAATTAAATTAGTTTTATATCATTTATTTAAAACAACTAAAAAGTACGGACAACAATTATAACACATTAATCATAATTAATTAAACAAAACATAATATTACAAACTGAAAGAAAAAACTATAATTTAGATATAACAAAATCGGTGTTGTTCTTAATATATGACACCTTTACTACGGTGCTTCTCGTGCCTATCGCGTCCTGACCTGGACGACTTCTCCTTGGATCTTCTCGTGTCAATTTTCTTATCGACTTTAGACGATATCTTCACTGCAGTCTGGGCATACATTACATTTATGTCGATATCTATCAGCCCTTGACCAATCCGTTTTTTGCAAGACGGTTCCAACGGCGAAGTCTCTGATTCGTGAGTCCTTTTCTTCGACTTCACTTCATTTTCCTTGCTCGGATTTCTTGACTGCTTCGATTCCAATTTGCTTATACTGTCCTTATCACTTCTGTTTTCATTCTCCTCAGGCTTATCAACATGGGACAGATCATCCCCAAATAATTCTACAAATCGTTTTGAAATTATACTTTCCTTCGACTTGTCTTCGCTTTCCTTGCTTAGATTTACTGTACTGTCCCTATCACTTCTGTTGTTTTTCTTCTCAGGCTTGGCAATATCGGACAGATCATCGCCAAATAGATCTACAAATCGTTTTGAAATTCTATTTTTCCTCGACTTCACTTCATTTTCCTTGTTCGAATTTCTTGACTGCTTTGATCCCAACTTACTAATATTGTCCTTATCACTTCTGTTGTCCTTCTTCTCGGGCTTTTCAACATCGGACAGATCATCGCCAAATAATTCTACAAATCGTTTTGAAATTCTACTTTTCCTCGACTTGTCTTCGTTTTCCTTATCCTTATTACTTTTAGGATCCGTTGGATATTTATTTTCCTTGGCACTAGAACTTGCACTTTTCGGTTTAGTCGGTACTTTTTTCTTCAGTAAAGACTTCACCTCAGTAGATTGTGATGTTTTACCATCATAGCATATATCATACATCGTAAGAGCATCACCGAAACTGACGCCCGATTTATGACTAATTGCACTTTTACCACTTTTCGAAGATGATTCAACTGTAACTTTGGAATAAGACATTTTGTATGTAAATAAGTTTTCACTGCTTCTCTGATGTCTGCTGGAGAACTAATGATTTGTTTCATTCCTAAATGTCCTTACGTTACCATCGATCATGATTTGAGGTTGCTAAAAATTGGAGTGGGGGTTACCCCAAAAATAAGCAGGTAGATGCAGAACTGAATTGTTTTTTGGAAAAATTTGATTTTATTGCCCCGTTATAAACAAAATAGGAAAATCCATCTAATATGTCGTAAAATTAATAGCAAATATCTATTTGTATAATAAAATACAAAGAGATATTTTAAATTATAAAACTATTTTAATTACTACCACAATTTGTATTTTTAAATTCATCCTTTTTGGGTAAATGCAAATTTCTTAGTATTTTGAGTGCAATAAATTGTAAGAAATATTTGGAAAGTTTTCTAATGAAATTGATAGTAGACTTTATGATTTGTATTCATTCAATTTGAAAGAAAATGAATTAATTTCCGATTCGTCGGTAGCCAGATGTGTCGCTTTTTTATAACCATATAAGGATTAGTTTAATGATTGCAGCTGATTCTTCGTGACTTTTCGAAACGATTCGTGCACACACGAGAATTGATTAGACGTTGTAGTACCGCTGCAATTCATCGCGACGTAGTTTTCGCGTTTTCATAATCATGTAAAAAATGATTTAAATATTCGCAGGTGCAAATGAATCATCGTTACGCAGGTGTGACAAATGATTCCTCGTGATAATTCGAGTCGAGTCATGTTTATATGAGTACTATTTAAACGTTTTAGAACCGCTGTGATTCATCACATCGCAGACAAGTCGCGTTTTCATAACCATATTACGTAATTTTGTTGATTAATTATTGACATTTTTAATCACTTTTATTTGCATTAAAATTAGTCTAATAATGAAAACAATAGAAATTGTGAAAAATAAATCTTAATTAATATAAAATAATTAAAGATTTTTTATATTTTGATTGCAAGATTAAAATTTGTTATCTTTTTTTATTTCTAACGTCTAAAATATATATTATAAATTTAATTTAGGCTCTGAAAAAAGGTACATACTTCCAACACACTCTTCCATAATAATTCTCTACTTCTTCTGCGTTTCAACTTTCGTCTTTCAAGAAATTAATCGAAATGATTTTTCTGGATTACAACTAAATGATTTTCTAAAATCGCTAATTTTGGTGGAACAGAAGTACAAAAAGATTATATCACGTAAAT